AGGGATGCGGTAACTTCCTCCGGCGGGGAGGAGCCGAATCCCACCACCTCCCCAGGACACAGAGCAGAGCGGAAACCAGTCCCGGCCCTGGTCCAGCACCCTCGGCCCGTGGCGCAGCTGAGCTGGTGCCGGCACCCTGGTGGGTCCAGCCCGCGCCGGGTCCCCTCCTGCTCACCCCTGGTTGAGGTCATTCTCGGTGTTGTCCAGCCAGAGGCGCACGGCCACCGCGTTGCCCTCTCGGCACTGTGTGAAGATGTCATCCATCGCGGCTCTTGCTGTGGGGAGGGATGGATAAGGACACGGGGCTCCTTGCCCACCTTTCCCACATGCGGCCCTGAGACCTGGACATCGCCTCCCACAGCCCCTCTGCTCCTGGCAGCCCCTCCGCCAGGGCGTCTCCCTGGGGGAGCGAGGACAGGACCCTCGCGTCCCCCTCCTCGGCAGCCCTGTGGAAAACTGCAAGGACCAACTGCTGAAGGCTGGGGACAGAGCTGGACTTGCAGCAGAAGGGGAAGTTCACAGCTGACTCCCGCGTCACGGGTGCCTGCAGCAGCTCGCAGGAAGCAGATTCGGCACCCATGGGCTTATCTGCAGGCCCAGCCAGCCCCGGGTGCCCGCACCTCCTGGGAGGGGAGCGGGGTCAGGGGGCAGAGCTGGAGGAGGCCCAGCACCACCCTGCACGGGATCCCATAGCTCCACACACCTCCCGATCCCCAACTCCGACCCAGGCTTGGCTGAACTTGGCACAGCATCATGCTCCTTAAACTGGGACCCCAAAGGTCCCCACACTCCCCCTCTCTCCAACCAACAGGCACTCCAGCCCAGAGCCAGGCAAAGAGCGCGTGTCCTGGTTCCATTTGTAAGCCCTCGACAGCAACAGCCCCACTGAGGCGCCGGGCTGCGCTGCCCCGAGATCCCCAGCAGCGCGGGGCCTGGCAGGGACTTCCTGCCTGGGGGTCTGCAGCATCAAGCAGGGACGTGGGGCTGCCCTCGGCGAGTCCCACAGTGCCAGTGCAGGGACTGACCGAGCACGATGTCCCCAACATGCACCTGTGAGGGCTTAATCCTGGTGCTCATCCAGCTGCAGCGGGACCCCCACTCGCTCTGCGCAGGGAGGACAGGCCCTGGCACGCTCCCCAGGACAGCTACTCTGCCTGTGTCCCAGGCTCCAGGCAAGGGACAGAGGAGACCGGTCTCACAGCCCGGACCCCCGAAGGGGCCTCACAGCCACCAGAATTGGCTCCAGCACTTCCAGGGCAGCGCCAGCCCCGCTCCTGGCTCACTGGCTATGGCGGACGGAGCAGTCCTGCGCGTGAGCTGCAAGGAGCCGGTGCTGCATCCCGACCCGATGTCCTGCGGGTCCTGCCAGCCCCAGGGACAACCGCACTCCCCCCA